CATACTCCTATAGTTATTAGCAGTTATTTACCGTTGAATTATGCTGATTCAAGTTGCTATTGAAATATTATTGAACATTATCACTTGTCCAGTTTTTGTAACCCATAAATACATGGTCGCGCCAGCAAAACTATAACATAACAATGTATGTTATACCATATATATAGAAAATATAAATGGTATAATTTTAAAGTGAAAATGCAGCCATAGCACACAAAAGCATGGGGGGATAATCCGTCTGTCAGACATAATCAAAACAATAGATGCAGAATTAGGAAGCAAGCTAGAATTTCAATATGGGGTTAGGAACTGGGTGCTAGAACACACAACGTCCCAAATCTCACTACTGCTCACCGTTTATCGCTGGCTGTGTGTATCATAGTTACCCCTAAAACATCAAAAATATAAAACGAATAAATAACATCACCCTTTATTTCTATCAAAGAATATCACCTAGTCTTCATTCTTGTCTAATTACTATCAGATATTAATATATGATAGTGGATTAGGAACTATATGGTAACCTTACAACTGCCCCCGTAGGAAAATTGCCTCCCGGTCATCTGCTCCCCGCATACATATCTTTTTATATCAATATAACTGACTAAAATAGGAAAAAAACAAAAAACATATTTCTTGTATTTCATAGAAGAATGAATTATCTAAACTGTTTAAGTAAGAGAAAATAACAGTTTCTTGTTAAATTTTGTTTATTGTAATAAAATAAAAATGTTGAACTGTGTAAAGTTATATAACGTAAGTACACTACAACTGTAAGTTATGAGTTATTCCTCTCAAATTGCGGTTTTGAAAATCTTCTATAATGTTTGTTGTCCTGGCAGTTGATTCTTGATACCACTTCCGCTGTGGTGATGCTGGGTCTCCAGCAATCACCTGATTTACTAAAGCCTCGTGACATGCGCAGTAAAGGATAGCTCGGGCGAAAGGGTTAAAATTTTAGATAATTCGTTCTTCTATAAAATACAAGAAATATGTGTTATTTTTCCTATTTTAGTCAGTTATATTAATATAAGAAGATATGGCTGCGGAGGGGGGGGTTGTCCGGAGGGCAATTTTCCTACGGGAGCAGTTGTCCAGGGGGGCAATTGTCTGGGAAGTAGTTGTCCTACAACCGAACTATATAACCCTCCTGTGTAATTCAAATAGTAATATCGATATACCCTTCGTCCTCCCTTAAATTTATTCAAACTGCATGATATATATAATTAACCAACATAGTTTTGAAAATACAATAATATATGATGTTAAACAAGCAGATTCGTTGAGCCCTCCAGTGGCACAGCGGTATGTCTGCGGACTTACAACGCTAGAAACCGGGTTTCGATACCCATGGTGGGCAGAGCACATATAGTCCATTGTGTAGTTTTGTGTTTAATTTCAAACAAACAGATTAGTTGAATATTACAAACCAGTGGTCCGTATTTCTTTCTTGGGGATATATGAATGGAAGTAGCTGTACAATGAAACTAGATGTACGATATCAATATGGAGTTTGTACAGTTGGTTGGTTCACTTAACCGTGATCAACAATCTGTCGTTACTTTGGATTCTTGTTTGTTTCTGGTAAGTACAAGCTACACAATGGACTCTGACAATCGCTGGTGTCGAAACCCGATTTTTAGCATTATAAACCCTCAAGTTTCTCGCTAAGCTACAGGGCAGGGGGGCATTTTGAAGTCTAATCTGTTATTGATGATAACCTGAATTTGGTTTGAGCAGTCAACTGACTTCTTCATTATGTTTGCACTGTTCATTGGAAAACTAATTAGGATACAGTATTTATTTAAATATTCATTAGATCACAGCAATTGAAACATCCAAAGTACTAGTAGGTACGTTTTGTTACAAGACAAAGTGCTCGTGCAACACTGTCATTAGCTTCTCACTTGATACTTTTATTTTTCTGTTCTACAATGACTACGATCATCAATTATATCGTACTGTGCCGTCTACTTGTGAAGGTATATATAAGGTATATCTTTTTGTTTCTCTGTTCATAAGTATTCTAAATGCTTTCTTCGTTCTTTGAATGTCTTGCTGTCTTTGTATCGATGTGCCTATAGATAGCTTTTGTATGTGTGAACATAGGTATTTTAACGGAACTTGATCACATAGACCTCTTCTTCGGATGATTTCACAGTTATTCTTTTAAACTATAATCAGGCAGTGTGTTCAACATGTGAACTGAGTGTACTACGGACTTTTTCTGTTGTTTCTCTTAATTTAGAGACGACGTTTCGGGCTTCGTGCTGAGACCTTCATTAGATGGAGTATGGAACCCAAAACGTCGTTTGAAATCAAGAAAAATGGCAGAAGTCCACATGATTTCACAGTTTGTCTTTCATGCATTTTAAGCATAACATCTGAGCACCGGTCTTTGTCTGTGACTTTTTTTTAAAAACTTAGTTGCCCAAATCATAAATATTACATTAGATCTGTTGCTAAGTTCGGAATATTTTACTGTAGAAATAACCTACAGGTTGTCAAAGATATATTAATGTTTAAAGTTCGTAGAACCTCAAAATATAAATATAAATCACAGAGAATGTGAGACTTCTAATTTAGCGCCATCTGGTGTCAATCATGATAGTTGAAAATTCAATGTTTTTTTTTCTAAACAGAAAACGTATATCTTTATATTTCAAACACATTTTATTTTGTACAACAAACTTATAGTTTCGTTAAAGAATTACAGTGCATGACTTTAACGTGAATCAAGATACAGTTTAACTCTTTCTCTGACCTTTTGAAGTTATATAATAAATATCGGATGAATAAAACAAGAAATGAAAAAAACAAACAAAACACATTGCTGAATGTAATGTAACGAATCATGGCTTCTACACTTTTCGTCGTATGTATCCGTAAGATGTTCAAAATAATTTGTCACGAAATTTAATATATATATACACACAATTATAATACAGTTCTGCGTGGAAGCCCTTAAAGTGTCGCATTCAAAATTTCAAATTGATTCTATTTTTATTTTCTACTTACGTTATTGAACACTATTGTAACATTAATAATAGTAGAGAAGTTAAAGCAGGTGAAGCCTTAAATCGTTATACTAAAATGTTATGAAATAACTTTACTTTTTTATTGTAGTTGATTTTTTGTCAGCCATACAAAGTGCTAGCTTACATTTGTTATTTGAGACATTCAATATATCTTCTGATTTTAACCTTATTTACAAGAATATCAATATGTTTCATACCATTGTGTCCCCAATGGTTCAACGGTAAGTCTGAAGGCTTATAACGCTGAAAATCGGGTTTCGATATCTGTGATGGGCACGTCAACATCACGGATAGCCCATTGTGTAGCTTTATGCTTAACTACAAACAAACTATTAAAAATTTGTTAGATTCTTGCGTATTGTATCAGAAGAACAAAAATACAGAAATAATAAATATACACAAATAAAGAAATACTTTAAAAAACAGGTATCTCGGTCAATGGAAATTTTAACAACTTACATATTCAGCATCCGACCAATCTCCTAGCAGCTGACACATTCACACTTCACGTAATTCCTTGAAAGGTACTCCGTTATTGGTTGAAAATAAAACGAGCAACAAACACGCTAATTGGAATCACCAGTGTTCCTGATTTATCGAACAGATGAAACAGCCAGGTACTTTTAACAGGGTCAATGAATAAAGACGAAAGTTTGATAAGACATCTGCGTACGTCTCATTTCATCAGCGGCTGTGTTATACAAGTTTTTCATGAAAAATTGACAACAGGGTTAACGAAGTGTTTTATGCATGATTCATTATAACTGATTGCTTTTTAGCGAACCTAACACGCCGTGATGTATTACTGAGGAGTTTAATGGTGATGCCTCCAAAATTGGGAAGATTCGGCAGAAATATTTTAATCCTCTGATGCGTAAGTTCACTGCAGTTAATTTACCGAACGCGTTGGAAGTCTGCTGTCTGTGCCAGATAAGTCTCATTAATTAATGGGCTAGGTACTGGACCTGGCAGAATTAATGATATTAATCATCTGAACGACATGAAGGCACATATTTCATTAAAAATTCAATACTAGAAGTTTGATGTGGACATGCATCATCTGTTGTTTCGTATTTTGTATTCATCTATGAACTGAATTTAAATCTGTCCCTTTACGTATTGGCAATTTCTGTTAAGCCGAATGAGTGTGTGGATTGTATTGTGAGTTAGGTTCTGTAAATTTGATTAATCATTTATCTGAGTGTGATTAAATATTTTCTTCTTGGTATATACCTCAACATAATGATCGCAGGTTTAATATCGTGATCAGCTTGACAGTGGAAATGTATTTTTTAAGCAATTAAAACCGAAGATGACCTGCTCCTATTATAGGCTGAAACCTTTTAATTACTGAAATATTTAGCTGTAAAGCTGATCATGATGTTGAATTTAATAATCCAATGGGATCCTCACCTGTTAATAATAATTACAAGTTTCATTTTATTGGATGCGTTTTATAAAGTATCGTGCGTATTTGTTTATTTATACAATACTAGCGGACGTACCTGTTCAACATAGAGTACCCCGGGGGTGACATAGGGGGATCAGGTTTGAATGCTAACCCTCTATGTCACTCGACGGTAGGCCGTAAAGGTACTTACCAGGTTTGGCGGTAAGCGGTCCAGAGGTTCGCAAGTTATTACCGGACAGAATGCGCGGGAAAGACGTGGGGAGGGGCAGATCCGGACGCCGACCCCCTGCGTCACTCCCCTAGGGCCCCCAAGGATACATGCCAGGTTTGATGACAATCGATCTATCGGTTCGCCAGTTATGAGCGTACACACAAACATAGACTTTTGTCAAATAATAGTTTCGACATTCATGTCGGCCTTGAGTTTTATACAGTGAGTAAGCATGATTGAAATCGTCACAAGACGAATGTATGCGTACTCTGAATAACTACGTTCGGCACTGGTGGCTAGAAGAGTTGCGACTGGCTTCTCATTGTAGTTACACACGCAAATATATTAATATACGATCATAATATCTGGAGAAGAACAAACTATTTTGGTCAAATATGTCTCATCGATTTGACAATCGTGTCGGACTAAATGATGTGCTTCTGACAACCAGGCATGTTCCAGACCGTTTTTTGTGATCGCTGTCAAGATATATCCATTTATCTCTTCTAGGCTTTGACAGCTCTTTACGACAAGGTTACGATGATGTACGTCCGTTTCTTTGTATGCGTGGCAACCTATAGCTGTATATCAAACTGAAATATATGAATACTGAATTGTATGTTAAATATATACCATTGGAAGTAGAATCCAACTATGAAATAACCTCGTGTATCTTAAACGTTTCTTCAAAAATTTGCTTATGCTTAGTTTATTTCTCTCGCTATCCTAGAAATAATACATATAATTCTTAATTCTGACCTACAGAATTCCATCAATGTAGGCAATGTAGCATTATCCAAGTAGTTGCAGTACACAAGGCTGACTGTGACAGTTGTTAATTTTCATAAACTTAAGTGGCCCGACATGGTCAGGTGGTTAGGGAGCTCGACTCGCAATCTGCGGGTTCGAATCCCTGTCACACCAAACATGCTCGCCCTTTCAGCCGTGGGGGCGTTATAATGTGACGGTCAATCCCACTATTCGTTAGCAAAAGAGTAGCCCAAGAGTTGGTGGTGATGACTAGTTGCCTTCCCTCTAGTCTTACACTGCAAAACTAGGGACGGCTAGCGCAGATAGCCCTCGTGTAACTTTGCGCGAAATCCATAACAAACAAACAATTTCATAAATGATAATAATATGCACTGAATGTAGTGTGGGCACCTGGACACTCCCACCTAACAGGTGTTTCCCATAAGGTGAATAGCATGTTCCTGTTCAGAACATCTTGTAGCTCTGTTTTATAATTGTTCGTTCCAATATTTCAAAGTTAACCGCATAGTTGCGTACACTATAAGAAAAAACAGCTGGACAATTTACTCAACACATTTCGTTTCATATTATCAATGGTGCAAAGCGTAGTAGCTTAGTGGTTAGAGTGCGAGGGTCCTTGGTTCAATATCTGAACAGTGAGTATTTGATGTTTTTTTGTATTTATTCAGTTAAAAAGTTGAATTTTCAGATATTAGAAACGAGGAGTCAAAAGTAAATTATTTGAATATTTATGAACTCATGGTGAGAATCTATTTTCTAACACCTGGTAATCAACTTATCAGGGAAAAGTATATAAAAGAAGATACTATGAAAGGGAATTTGGTGAAGAGAACAAACAATCGGTGCTGAAAAAATCTAATAATAAACAGAAGTGGGAGGTGCAGAGAAAATAGACAATGGGGAAATAATGATGCGCGAGCAGTAAAGGGAAAAATATGTGATATTATATAGGCACTGAGAAAATAAACAGGTAGTCAGAAAAAAGAAGAGAATACATATAAATATATTAGTAGAACGAAAAGGACAGATAATTACACTAAGATTGGAGAGGAGAAAAAAATGAAACAGGAGAGAGATAAGAAGAGAGAATAACTAGAATGTAGACGAGGAGAGTTAATAAATAGTATGTAGCGACAAGAGTAAATAGGAAAACAGTATTAGAGAAACTCAAAAGGTTAAATAACTAGCATGTGGAGAGAGGAGAGTAATGAATAGCAGCGTGCAGAGAAAAGAGAAGAATGAATAAACAGCATGTGAACAGATAAGAAGAATTAACAACTAGCATGTACAGAGAGACGATAAAAATGACCAACTAGTATGTACAGAAAGACGAGAAGAATGAATGTGGAGCAGCGGAATAATATATGTACATCATCTGGAGAGATGAGAAAAATGAACAACTGACATGTATGAAGAGACGAGAATAGTCAATAAACAGCATGTAGAAAGACGAGAAAGTCAATAAACAGCATGTAGAAAGACGAGAAGTTGATTCACTTTTCTCTTAACTCTATGTGCTGATTATTCATTTTTGTTGTCTCTACGTGCTATTTATTCTCCTCTCTACATGCTCTTTATTAATTCTTCTCGTCTTTCTACGTGCTGTTTATTGACTAAGCATGTAGAGAGGAGAATAAATAGCACGTAGAGACAACAAAAATGAATAATCAGCACATAAAGTTAAGAGAAAAGTGAATCAACAGCATGTAGAGAGGAGAATAAATAGCACGTAGAGACAATAAAAATGAATAATCAGCACATAGAGATAAGAGATGAATGAATAAACAGCATGTAGAAAGACGAGAAGAATGAATAAACTCGGAAGAGAAGTAAATACAAAATTTTAAAGGACTCGCAATAATAACTAAACTTTGAGAACTTGTTTTTTTTGTTACTATGGGTAACTATTAAAATTTACTATTTATTGGAACGATAGACTGTAATCATTGGTTATGCAAACCAGAATTGTTGGATTACTGGGAATTTTTCAAGAATTGTTTTTTTCTTTTACTTTAGTTTGGTCCCAAAAGAACATTACCTTTTATGGTTGTGAATGACAAGTGCTACCTATTGTAGCAATTTTTTTAAGCACCGATATTTTATGTATAGTTTATATAGTTTTCGCTCTGATCTTCAACTACATATATTTCAAAATTGATGTTTATTGAAATAAAACTGATTGGTCCGAAATCCAAGTGTAACTGGTTTGTGAAACTGGGTACATATACGTATTTCATGTTCTATAAGTATTGAGTAAATTGTCCATCATATGTTTTGGTATTTGCAACTTGATCGGCACCTTATGCAACACATGGGTTAAATTTCCAGGTCAAGAGATTCCGAGGATCAAGTATAGTCGTTCTTATTTTATAACTGTTTACCAGAAAGAGGACAACTAATCAGCAGAACCCGACTACTTTTAATCGAATAGCGAGATTGACTGTCAATGTTTTAACGCTCCCACAGCTAAAAGTTCAGAGTACGTTCAGCGGCATTCTGCGACTCGAACCTTGGACTTTCCGATTCACAGCCTGGCGCGCTATCCACTAAAGATCCGACCCTCTTCACAGTAATAGAGTTGAAGTTATGGATATTTAAAATATTAAGGGTTGTTTTTCTTATTTTTTATTACACTGAAAATCAAATAAGCGCAACATGAATAATTGAACCAACTGGGGATTTTAAAGTCCGCTCATTGGAATATTATTCTATTCAAATTCTAAGTTTATTAAAAGAAAAACTGAATTATTCAATAACACATGAACGGGAGTAATATAAGATTTATATATTTTAGTGTGGTCACCTAAAGGAAGTCGTTTTGATAGGTAGTTCAGACACTATACGTACGCCTTTTATTGCTCTCTAAAATTGTCACATTAACTGAACTTCTGTACGAAATGTAGTTGCTGAAGATTGGGATTACTGGTCAGTCGGTGCCTGATAAGGATATCATGATCGCCCAGCTTTCGACGTTACTTAGATTGAAGTTTATTGTGACAGCAGGAACAAATAAGGTTTATGAGGAAGAACGGTATTCGTGTGGTTTACTTTCTTCCAGGAGCTTATCTGTAAAAAGAAGAGAACCGCACGACTCGATAAAGTAGTAAACTAATAATGAGAGCGGCATGCCACA